TCTCTCTCTCTCTCCATCTCTATCTCTCTCACTCTCTCTTTTTCTTTCTTTCTCTCTCTGTCTCTCTCTCTCTCTCTCACACACACACACATTAACTCGTTTGCTTTCTCTCTAACGCTGTCTATATCTCATTTTTCAAGAAAGCACTCCATCTCTTCTTTCTCTCTAACACTCTCCCTCCCTCTAAAATCACTAAAGGCACGTAAATAGATATACACAGATACACACATTCACCAAAGACCAGTCAGCCACCAGGTCAATACATGTAAGTGGATTTTTTTAAAGTTGACCTCCTCACCTGTGTGTCCGTGGAGGTAGAGCGCGGGTCGTACAGGTGTTGACTGTAGTCTGGACTCGTCATGCCATTCATGACAATAAAACCAACCGAACCCGGGGCCTGGGGAAGAGATGGGTGGATATGAGACTTTAAAACACAATTTCTCCTGGTTTAAAAAAGTTTACAGTAATTGCTACACAATTAGGTCATATAATTGCAGAAGATAAAAGGTGTTACAGGAGCGTAATAAACAGAAAAAGGAGACATCGGGACAATAGATGTTTAATAGAAAAGTAGGAGCAAACCGCTCACAAAAAAAGTTTTTGAAAGAGTGTATGGCACTTGAAACACAAATACATGTAGGTCATATAATAAGTGCCGGAGATAAGAAGTGTGACTAAAGACTAACACACAAAGAAAAGATGGAGGACATATTAGAGCGATAGATGTTCGACAGGAGAGAATGATCAAACCCCACCAGAGCGCCTGCTAACCACCCACCACCCACCTGGACGTGAGACTAGAAGTCAGACATGCACTAATTCACGATAAAAAAGGGTTATAACATTCACGATCTTAGTTAAAGTTTTTGTAGAGGTTTTACGGCGCTCGCTGCTGCATAAGGTCATATGAGCGCCAGAAGATTAGAGCTGTTACAAGAGAGTAACAAACATAAAAAAAGAAGGAGAGATGAGGACGATAGATGTTTGAAGGGAAAGAAGAAATAAACCACACCAGAGCACCCGCCAACCACCCACGATCTTAATACAATGAAATTGATAAAGATTGACTTTATGAACACGGACAATACCATTACGGACAGAGAAGGGAATTTTATGCTTTTCTTTTTTAAAGGTACAGTAAGAGCTTTATGGCACTTGCAACACAATTAAGACATGTAGGTACCGTATAAGATTTGCGGTGTTACAAGAGAGTGGCATACAAAGAAAAGAGGGGGAGATAAGCATGACAGATGTTTGATAGAAAAAAAGAAAAACCAAACTCCCACCAGAGCACCCGTCAATCACCCACTGGACAATATTGACGAAGGCAAATATTCGCACAAGACATTGATATGAAAGTGCACCTCATAGTTATTTCTAGTAAACCCAGAAAAAAGCAAAACTAGAAAGACGAAGCGGTAACTTGCTTGGAGACAGCTTATCTTCAAGATACATGTACCTGACCCAGGTTCGAAAACTCAACCCGGTATTCTTTTGTTTTAGTAAGAGTACGTTACTTGCAACCCATTTAGGTCATATAAGTGCCGAAGATTTGAGATGCTACAAGAGAACAACAAACCACAAAAAGAAGGAGAGATTCTGATAAGGATGGTAGACGTTTGATGGGAAAGAGGGAGCTAACTAAACTAGAGTACCCGCCAACCACCCACACTGGCGTTCTTGAATTCGGATTGATGGACGTCAAATGGGAGGCTTCTCATTATCGTAAAGAAAAACGACATAAATGTCTGGATTTTGTTGATGTTGTATTTTTTTAAAAAGAATCCCCTGATGAGCGTTCTTTTTATTTTTAAGCGGAAATAAAGGAAATAACGGAGATGAGGGTGGATGGAATCGAAAAAGCGGCATCCGTGATTATGCTGTCTAAAACAACCTTTAATAGAATTTTCCAAGGTCACTTGTCTTTCAGTTCATTTGTATATAATAATATGTGTTTGTGTAGTTTTAAAGTTAGCTAGACAAAAACAGATAATTAATTTACAACTTTTGTTGGGAGG